ACGTTTCTGAACATATCTCATTATACACTACTTTGTAAGGTACACAAACAGCTTAAATCCCAAGTTCATCTTGTTATCCCAATTTGTTATTTTAATTCTTACTTCGAAGGTGTTCGTTTCGATTACGTACTAACAACAAAATGACTCAAACGATCACACAATGGTACATTCACGGAGGTAATAATATTGATACGGAATTACGTATAATCTAACAGGGATTCTTGATCAATTTTTCGAAATGTTGATATTGTTGAATGCGAATTGAGAATTAAGATTAGGTATTTTAGCGATTTTGCGAGTTTGCGTATCGTTCGTTAGAGTAGACTTGAGATGAGTGAATGAACACGGTATCATGCGTTCACCGTGATCCCCTTTGCCACTAACAACACCTAACTCATCCTCGGCTATACTTAAAACAAACGTTGTTTGTGATTCACCAAATCCAATCACTCGAGCTAATATCACATCACCCGGCTGAATACACATATATAGTTCTGTCTGAAATATTATTGTTTGGCTTTCTGCAAGTTGGATCTAATATTTCAATATCAACACAGCTTTTGCGTCTAGCACTACGATGAATGAATCATATCTGAATTAACGACGGTACATTTCTCTCAAATGAACATTCCAATTACCGATAGCATATTTATGCAAGTGAGTCTATCATGGCTGAAACTGCATTAAGTAATCACCAAAAACGTTTATATATGTGCAAAATTCAATTAAAAAAGATAAAAAATAAAAAATGAGGAAGTAATAACTTTATCTCGCTGATCACTGCTGATATCTTCTCGTCTCAAAACAGCACTGAACTGATGCGAGAGCATTGAAGTATCAACACAAACGATACCACACTTCGCAAAGTTAACACCAATGTTCAGCACCTTCAATTTTTTAAAACAATAACAAAACGAAACAGAAATTCATTTCGGTATGGATCACGAAACGATTCACGCCTTTCCTCCAATAAGATATTTAAAAGAAACATGAAATTTTCGCGATATGGATGACTGGATGATCCCTTATTCAAACGTTATTTTGTTGACGAACGCTGAGTAATATGGTATAATAGGGCAAACGTCAAATTGCATTTGATTTTCGCCGAAATTATCGATCCAAAAACAGTGCATAAAACCACACAGGCATCAATAAATAGCAAAGCATAAGTTTCGGCCGGAGCCCTAAGCATGATCATGAGCTTGAAGCGTCAGCCTAATCCTAGGTGTCACAGTCTCAGTCTGTCCCTAAGTAGTGGGCATTAAAATAAAAAAATGGTTGCCTTTGTGTCAAACAGAATGACATTAACGCGATAATGTCAGTGTTAAAGTGATTCATGTCCATTTCCCAAGAACTTCAATGTGACCTATAGATCAGTGGAATATGAGAGTAACTCATAAAAAAATAGAATTTTCAAGTGTGACCGATTGCCGCAAATTGAGCTAATTTCGTAAAACACTATTCGACCGTGAAATATTCATGAATTGCAAATTAACCTCACTTACCTTGGCTGTAACAATACCTCCTATATATGGCACAATATGATGTTGAATTTCGTTATTCTTCCGTACTTCAACTGTTCTTACTTCTTTACTGCACTGAAACATGACGAGTAATTACATCGTAACCTTCATTGGTTATTCCCATGTTCACTTCCTATTCTGTTAAAAAACCCTACAAAAATGAAAAGAAGAAGACACACCTCAGTTCCGGGCAAGACATGGACGATGCCAGCTAGAGATGCATATATATGCCCAAATAATTCATAAGTACCAATGCCGGCTCTTAGATCCTCTGAAATTGCGAATAGGCGATCACCGGGGAATACCTTTTTGAATTCAGTGTTCGACGTTGATGCATCAGTCGATAATGAACAAGACTCCATTCAGTAATGCTAAAATGCAATCAAATCAATTAACATCTCTACAGACCTTTATAACTGTACATTTCAGTGATTATCACGTTATTGCGCCCCGTATCAAATGAATGACATTCTTGTGATTAAGCGATTCATTTGAAAATATTATTGAAAATTACAATCTTACCTACTCCTACTCCCATAAGAACCAAAGGTATACCTGACATGATAACAGCTTTTCTCATTGTCACGTAACACACCAAGTCATTCTTAAAGTGTCTAGATTAGGCAGCCCCTTAGTGTTTTCCTTATAACATAGTGTTCCATTGTTTTACCTTATAATTCGTTTCGGTTCAATTTGGG